ACGAATGTTGTTTAACTCTGTTTAGCCTTAAAATTCTGATAATGACTGCAATTGATAATTGCTGACTGTTGCCAATATTGCTACTATTGATAGCGTTGCTGATAGTATTGACTGGATGAGTGATTACTAATTTCTGTTGTTAACAATTGCAAAAAAATTGCTGATGCTGTGTTTTTTGCTTGCTAGTTGTGAATGCTAATATTGAATACTAGCCTCTAATATTGATGATCAGATTTTGGTTGATTTAATGATGACAAAAAGAGGGAGAAATAGATGTATAAGTAAGGGGGAGTCATTCTAAGGGGGAGTTTGTGTGGAGTCATTCTAAGAGGGAGTGTGTGCCCAAATTATTCTAAAAGGATTTGTGTCTATTAATCTATATGGGAGAGGACTGCATCAAGTAAGGGGAAGTTGTGTCCCGATTATTTTTCTCGATCCATTGTTTTGTCATCATAAAAAAGGGAGAGATTGTTTATCTCAATCCGTAGTTTTTGAGGATTACAATACAAATGGATGATTACTAATGTTCTCTTATAGACTCTTTCAGAAATGGAGCAAAACAGGTTCAAAGATTAAAGCACAAAGGATGCTGAAACTGTTATCGGACGCGTAAAAAGACTGGATCGGATGTCCGAAAACCTTTGCATAATTTCAGACGAATGAAGAACTTCACTCTTGGACGTTCGAAGATATTTAGTCATTCTCTCTAAACTCACTGATATCGATCGGACGCAAATCCTCAAAGCACCAAACGTCCGACATGAGTTGCGACATTTCGGATGCAAAGCTCTGGAGGGACCGGACGTCCGAAAAGAATTGACGAAGAACTCCCAGTTTCACCTCTTACCTTCGGATGCATACATTGAAGGTACCGGACGTCCGATATAATTCAAGAGAATTTCTTGAACTCATTGCCTACGTTCGGACCCAGAAGTTGATCTACCGGACGTCCGACACTGCCAACGGTTAGTTAACTCTTTAGCTGCCTTCTATCCGTTGGAAGTATTAATTGAGGAACTTTTTTTGTTCCATATAAATAAAACACAGTCAACAACTTCAAAAGTACTTTGCACATTGAGACTACATCAGATTTAGAATGATTCAAGGGCAAGAATACTCTTAAAAGAATATTTGTACTCTTAGTTGTGTAATTTTCGTTTAGTTCTTCAAGTGTGTTTCAATTACTTCAATAGTATAGTTTTGCGAAGGTTATCTGAGTGATAGTAAAATTTCCTCACTTGACCAAGTGTGACTTGGGGAAAGGAGGAAGTGATCCTTTCCTTGTACACAAGAGATTGGTTGTAAGTTGATCAACTTGAAGAAACTTGCACTATAAAGTGACATTCAAACTCAAGAGGAGTTTGGTATTTGGTTTGATACTCTATCTCTTTTACTTTCTGTTTTGATATATAAATTGCTCATCTCTTCTACTCATAAACACTTGTGCTTTCTGATTCATTTCTCCATTGTATGGTTTTTTAGAAAAAGAGAGCAAGTACTCAAAAAATGACTTATAACTTGGCCATTTTTTAATCTACTTAATTCACCCCTCTTAGGTTATTTTCGATCCTTACAAATTGATTCACTACAAAAGTAGGTTTCATATGCATGAGAAAATTACTCCATAACTAACCTAAATAGTAGTATTCAATGATCCAAATATAGCGCTTGCATGAGTAGTTAGGGATACCACAATTTAAGGAGTTTTCATTTGTTATTTTCTTGCATAAATTCAGTAAGTTTTACTTGTTATAATTCATTGATAGTTTAAATAATAGAAAAGCTTTAGTAGTACCGGTAATTGCAATCTTCCTTGTGAGATCGACTCTTAATACCCTTTACTCGCTCACGATTCGTATACTGCGATAAATCGCGTGTGGGGTATTTAGGAGTTTATAAACGTAAAACTTGATTGGGATAAGATTAATGTTATATGTATACCCTACGTCCATCAAGTTTTTAACGCCGTTACCGAGGAAGATTTGACAATATCGGTGTGAAGAGCAACTTTATTAGTTATAGTGTGAATTTTATTTTCTGTTATTTTCGTGTTTATTGTGTGTATGTGTTTTATAACCTATTCTTCTTACTAATTTTGCTCTTAAGTTATTTAAAAGTAATTTTAGGTAATGATGAGGGTAGGTCAATTTAGAGGACAATGCTTGAGAAATGGAAGTTTGACAATGGATGGTTACCAAGTGCAAAACTCTTTCAACAGAGGTAACCAAAAATTTATTGAATGTATGTCTTTTGAAAATGGTTTAAGGTGCTTAAAAACTAAATTTGATGTTATGATGTTACAAGTTCAAAAGGACATAATTATGCATGAAATTGAGCAAGGGAGGAATGTCACTTATGCCTCTGATCATAGTATGTTAAGTTTAAACACTTATGCCTCTGATCATAGTATGTTAAGTTTAAACACTTGTACAGGAGTGGGAAAAAAGAAGAGGAGATTTTATTTTGATAAAAGATGGCTTCAAAGGGAAGAGGTGTACAAGGTAGTGGAAAGAGCTTGGCAAAAAGAGAAAGTTGGATCCCGTATGTTTAAAGTTACTAAAAAGATTAGAAACTGTAGGATTGAACTTTTGAAATGGAGAAATACTTTCAAAGCCAATTCCAAAAGCAGGATTGAGGAGATAAAAGAGGAGCTGGAAAGGGTGAAAAACTCTGATTGTGAGAACAGAAAAGGGGAAGTTGCTGAGCTTAAGAACTAGCTCAAAGAAGCCTACACGGAGGAAGAAAATTTCTGGAGTCAAAAAGCCAGAATCAACTAGCTAAGAGAAGGCGACAAGAACACTAAATATTTCCATGCTCATGTTAAGGGGAGGAGAACTAATAATAGAATCAGAAAGCTGCAGAAGGAAAATGGCTCATGAACTGAGAATGAGGAAGAGGTAGTTGCAGAAATTTCAGAATACTTTAAAGATCTTTTCACTAGTGGAGGCAGGAGGGATATGTCAGAGGTTCTGGAGGGTATTTCCCATTTCATAACTCAAGAGATGAATGATAAGCTAACTAAACCAATAGAAGAGAAAGAAATCAGAAAAGCACTTTCCTCTATGCAGCCTGAGAAAGCTCCTGGACAGGATGGCATGTCTCCCCTGTTCTTTCAAAGATTCTGGAACATTATAAAGGGAGATGTTATCCCTGCTATCCTTTCCTTCTTTAATACTGGCCACATGCTCAGATCGATTAACCACACTATCATATCTCTTATTCCTAAAATGCTGAATCCTACTTGCCTGAAAAACTTTAGGCCTATTAGCCTGTGCAGTGTGATTTACAAAATTATCTCCAAAATTCTGGCTAATAGGCTTAAGCCTATTCTAGACATTTGCATTAGTAATACACAATCAACTTTCATTCCTGATAGGCAAATTCTAGACAATGTGATCATAGCTCATGAGTATATGCACTACCTCAAAAATAAAAGGCAAGGATTAGTTGGATACATGGCAATCAAGTTGGACATGGCTAAAGCCTACGATAGGGTTGAGTGGCATTTTTTGCAGGCCGCCATGCAGAAGATGGGATTCTGTTCACAATTGATCAACTGGATTACTAGATGCATGCAAACTGTTACTTACTCTTTCAACTGCAATGGAGAAATCAAAGGATTCATCACACCAGGGAGAGGAATAAGGCAGGGAGATCCTCTGTCTCCCTACCTTTTCTTAATTTGTTTAGAAGGCTTTTCAAGCTTATTGAGGAGAGTAGAAGGAAGAAACGAGCTACAGGGGCTGAAAATCAGTAGACAAGGGCCTATCATTACACATCTCTTTTTTGCAGATGACTCACTAATTTTCTGTAAAGCCAACACTCAACATGCCAATAAAATTATGAAGATCCTCAAAACGTATGAAGAGGCATCAGGTCAACTGGTTAATCTAGATAAATTAGCTATTTTCTTCAGTAAAAATATCTCTCTGGAGCAAAGGAAGGATGTATGCAGTGCTTTACGTGGAATGAAGGAAATGACACAAGGGAAGTATCTAGGCCTTCCAATGGTGATAACAAGAACAAAATACCAAGTGTTTGGCTTCATTAGAGAAAACATAAGTAGGAAGCTTCAGTGTTGGAAAAACAAGCTGCTAAGTTGTGCAGGCAAGGAGGTAATGTTGAAGGCTGTCTCCATGGCAATGCCTACTTATGCCATGTCTTGTTTTAAACTGCCAAGGAAACTGTGCAAAGACATCACTGCTTTAATGGCCAACTACTGGTGGGGAGAATCGGATGGGAAAAGCAAGCTACACTGGCTGTCTTGGAAAAAACTGGCTCTCGATAGACCTGAAGGAGGCTTGGGATTCAAAGATATAGAGGCCTTCAACAAGGCTTTGTTGGGAAAGCAGTTTTGGAGGTTATTAACCAAGCCAAACCTTCTTATCAGCAAAGTTCTTAGAGCTAAGTATTTCCCTAAGGTCTCAATATTCAGGTGTAAAGCTCAAAAAAATGCCTCTTGGATTTGGCAAGGGCTGCTAGGAGCCAGAAGTTTCATAGAAGAAGGCGTAATCAGGAAGATTGGGAATGGAAGAAGCACAAACATCTGGGAGCATAAATGGATCCCAGGAACAACCTCTGGTAAGCCTACTACCCCAAGACCTTGTAACAATTCAATGAAAATGGTGCAGGAGCTTATCAGGCATAAGTGTTGGGATAGAAATAACATTTTCAGAACTTTTAACCAGAACGATGCAGAGAGGATCTTGAGCATTCCTATAAGTCTAATAGGCAAGGAAGATAGTTATTTCTGGCAACATAATGGGGGAGGTTGTTATTCTGTCAAATCTGGATACAACTTTCTCATGAAGGGAAAGGGCAGCTCTAAGGAAGCAAAATCAAAAGAAGCAGGCCCAAGTATAGGGGAAGGAAGCTAGCAAATGAGGCAGATGTGGAATACTCTTTGGAAGCTAAACATAAAACATAAGGTTAAACTGTTTATTTGGAAGTGCATTACAAGGGCATTGCCAGTTAGGGAAGCAATTTTTAGAAGGACAGGGATGGGTGATCCATTTTGTAGAGCCTGTGGGGAGCACCAGGAAACAGTGGAACATCTCCTATTAAGCTGTCCAAGTACCTTAGACATATGGAAGGTGGCCCCAATTCAATGGGATGGAGTTAGAGACCAGCAAGAAGATTTTAAACGATGGTGGTGCAAGATATCAAAGGCAAAGGCAAGACTAGAAGGAACACAACATATTGGATTGACTGCAAACATTTTGTGGCAAGTGTGGAAAGAAAGAAACAAACAGCTTTTCGAAGGCCAAAGCAGAAGTCATCCAGTGAGGACGGTGAGCAAGGCTCAGAAGGAGTGGCTAGAGCAAGAGGAACTAAGGACAACTAAAGACAGAATGAGCACAGGAGAAACAGTTTCTACTCAGACAGTGCATCATCAGGAGAATGAAGATGAGGAGTCCATAGCACTACAAGTGATCTCAACTAGTTGGCAAAGGCAATTGTCAACTGGAATTGGAGTCATAGCTGAGACATCTTCGCACACAAGGATTGCAAAATGGGCACTAAAGGAGAGATCACTTGGAACCAAGCTTCTTGATGATGCAGCAGCGGTCAAACTGGTCTTGTGTAAAACTTTGGAACAGCATTGGGACAAAATCAAAATTTTGCTCCAGAACAAAGAGTTACTAAGACAGTTAAAGAATCCAAGCTCCCTAGACAGTTGTTTAACAACTCTGACTGATGACATTATGGAATTACAGAAAATATTTCGTATGTGCTCTTTTGAGCTAGCCAGGGGAAGTATTATGACAACATGTAAAAGTTTAAGTTCTTATGCCTTAGGCATTGTTGTGGATGAGGAATGGTATTTTCCTCAGTGCAATTGAGCACTAATTGTAAAGTCTCTCGAGCCGTTGCTCACATATGTACATTGCCTTTAGTCAATGAAAAATCTTATCGTTTCGTCAAAAAAAAAGAGGAATGTCAATACTTTTAATTCTTATCATGTGATTTGTGACTTATGTGAAAGTTATCATGTTACTCATACATGTATGCAAGCATAAAATATGGATTATTATGATGAATTGGGGCATTACAATCCTTGTTTTGATCAATATGGTCCTTATTGGGGCAATTCTTATGCATATGATTGGGATAATCAATGTACTTATAGTGATTCTCTATATTTTTGTGATTATCCATCCAAATGTGTCCTATATGAAGCAAAACCATCTTGGGAGTTGGCAATAAAAAGGTTAGTTAATGCATCTTTACCTTTGGAACTAGAGAGTGAACCATTAACTAATGATTCTAATGCATCTTGGGAGCTAGCCATAGAAAAATGTTCTAATCAATTTGATTTGGCCATAGAAAAGCTAGCTAATGCGACCTCAGATCGTTTTGCTAGGATCGAGAAAAAGTTGGATGAATTGGCTTCTCACTTTGGTAAAGTACAAGACCAACCATATGCATTGTGTGAAGTTATTTCCTCTAATGATATGTAAATTGACCCTAGCATGAATGGTGAGCATGTTGCAAGTAAAAATGGATTGCATTTTGATGAAAATAATGAATCTCAATTGTGTTTCAATGAGCAAATATCCATTTTACATGATAATACCTTTAGAACTAACTTTGAATTTCAAGAGGTGAGTTTTAATGACTCATTTTTCACCCCTCTTGAGGAGTGCATTGAAGGTATAAGTTCTAAGGGTATTGCTGCCCAAGATACTCTCATGGACGTTCCTTTGGTAAGTTCTCAAGTGATACATATTCAAGGTAATTTCTATGAATCACTTGAGATAGGTAAGCCACTTCCATCTCTCTTATCATTAGAACATGTGGCTTTTGTTATAAAATCACATTTTAATGATCCACCACGGCCTAAAATGGTGGATTATTCGTTAACTAAACCTCCTTCAAAAAATGAGGTGAATAGTCAAGCTAATGACTATAAAAAAGCGTTAGTTGGGAGGCAACCCAATGATTTCTTATTTTTAGTAAGTTTTAGTTGTTTGATTAGTATTTTTGGATGTGTTGTAGGTAGCAATGCCAAGAAATCATGCTAATTATTTCAAGTGCAAAAGAGCTTATAAAGAGTGGAGACTGACGTGAAAAAGGAAAGTTTAACCATCATTTTTGAATTTACAATACTTAATTTCATGTTATGAGGTTAAGTTAGTCATTTGCATGAAGTTGAAGTGAATTCAAGTGTTTAAATGTATTCATGACCTATTTGCACTCTTTTGACAATTTGAGCACTACCATGTGCATTGGAAATGTCCAGGGAACTATTTGATTCAAGAACCTCAACCCTCAATTTGCATTCTACAAGTTTTTGATTTATTTTGAGATGTTGAGATTCATGTTTAAGTCACTTTCCATGTGCATGAAGTGTTGAATTGTTGAAAATTTCAATGTAGAGTATGAATTGGAGAGTGTGTTTCAAATTGGGGTCAAACTAAAAATTGCAGAAACTTGTGCAATAAGTGCAGATTCAATGGATTCGAAGCCTCGGATCCACTTCTGCAATCAGAATTTTTTTTGCAGCACAATTCGGCCAGAAATCTGGCCAAATTTTGGCCGGATTCACAGCCGGATTAACAGGGGAGGACGAAAAATTTTTTCTGGCTCACTGGCCAGAATTCCTCCACGAATCCCTCCAATTTCAGGCGGGATTATGAACAGTAACCAGCATAAGATGAATCCGTTTCATCTCAATTTCACGGATTCATCTAACGGATTCATCTCAATTTTTCTCACACACTAACACCTCAAATACATACCACTCACTAAAACACCACTTTTTACCATTTCATTTTCAAATAACCTTCACCAAATCACTTTCTCCCATCCTCTAGAGTGAATTTCATAGTTCATATTCTTGCAACATTGATAGTACCTCCCAGTATACCTATTGTTGGTGCACAATGCATTTCCCTAGAAGAGGAAGCAGAACGACTGTGAAGATTAAAGGAAGTAGACTCATGAGATGACATGTATTGTAATACTTCAGCAACAACACTGACGTTATCGTGGCCATTCTTAAAACCCCCACTTTCTATCATTTGGCTATGCATAAAAGGTTGCTTTCCACTATCGCACGGGACAGTGCGAGTTTCTGGAAAAGAAACACCTGTTTCCACTTGTTTCCACATAACCAAGTGGAACCTTATGAATACGCGAGAGAAAGCGCTTTCTTTTTTCTTGTCAACCCTATCTTCTCTTCGATAGCGCAGAAGCTCATTTTTTTTCCTAAGCATGGCATTTCTGCATACCTTTTGTGGCGAGTAGAACATCTACCCATTCACTTTAATTGTTCAAAGTGTACAACATCAAAGGACTATATAAAAAAGGTAAAATTTTATCAATTAACAAAAAAAAGGAACAGGTTTGTAAAATATCAATAAAATTAATAAGCAAGTAATGAGCCAGAAGGTAAGAAATTTAATAGTTAACAAAGAAGTAGTAAACAAATGAAATAGATGTATAAAATAAATAACAAAAGCTAGTTCAGCGTGCAATGCACGGCTGCCTCTAATTTTTTTCCTTCAGGTGTAATAGCACAGGAATAGGAGCAAAATAACACCTTGTACATGCAGCAAACAAGAAATGGCAAGAAGCAAACTAGGTTTGACAATTCAAAAGTCAATGAAGCAAGACTGAAACAACATGCAACCAACAAGGTAGCAGAAAATACATGTAAAAGAGATGGAATCTAAATGGTAAAATATAAAAGAAAGGGGGAAGAGAGGAGAACCAGAAACATCAACCTGTTTGCCTGCAGAAAATCCACACAGTAGAATCGAAGAAGAGCAGGAGGTACCACAATAAAAAGGATCATGCAAAAGCTAACAGGGAAAAGAAAAGGAAAAAGGAAAAAATAAACTTCTGTTAATAGTTTAAAAAGCAGTGAAAAAATTAAAGGGACTAAACTGCATGAGAAAAGAAAGAAACTGATAAAGAAGAGAAATAACAAGGTAATAAGCTAATTATTTTTTTTTTTTAAAAAGATCAACACATGCAGAGAGACTAAGTAAAATGAGCTTGAAGCAGAACACTCACCAGCAACACAGTAGCAATAGCAACTCTACAAGTTGAAACCAATGCAAAAAATTAGCAATGAGGAAAGTCTAAAAGAAGCAAGAGCATGTGAAAAAGCAAGCTCATAAAGTACTTTTTTTCTTTCTAGTGAAAAAGTAAGAGCAACAGATTAGAAGAAACAATGCAGTAGATGCACACTTACCACTGATCATGATGATAAGTAGCCGAATTTCTGCTAGGAGAAACCAGGCAATATCAGTGTCCATTGTACAAAGGAAAAACGCAGGATTATCCCCGAACAGAGTAAGGCTAAAAAGTGACGTCTGGCAGGATTGCATAGTGACGGTTACGACATTTTTACAAACATGACCATGATAAAGAAACCAAAAAAGAGAAACCACATTAAGAGAAAGAGCAAATTAAAAGACAAAGGCTAGGTAATATAGTAAAATGGGTTTGTTTGGATTGAGCATTATTTCCCCAATTTTATTTGCTTATATCATTATTACAATTTCCAATACACCTTTTTATCTTCCCAATTACCTTTTTATCTCACATACATCACGTCACAAAAAGTGCTACAGTAAAAATATCCTAAATAACTTACAATCCAAACAAACCCCATCTTTCACATCAAATACAACAACTCCCCACCAAATGAAAGTAATCAAAAGAGGTGTCTGAGGATGCATTTGATTAAAATGCATAGAAAGTACATTTAAAATCAAGCAAAGTAATGGGTAAGCGCAATTTGCCAGTCAAAGATACGAAAGTAGATAATTTTCTTAGCATAGATGATATTAATAGAGCTGCATTTTTTTTTTATGTTTAAAAACGTAGGCCAACAAATTAATGTTAACAAATAAAGATGAAGAGAAAAAACCAACAACTAAACATAATTTGTTGGACAATAGTAAACAATGGAACGAGCAATTAATTAATTGCGAAAAATTGATAGGTAAACATAAGTCTTAGGACAAAAAAAAAAGGAGCCTTCTTTTGTTAACCCAACATATTGGTACTAATTAGCCAATAATTAATTGTTAACAATCAATTGTAAAAATTTGATAGGCAAACATATGTTGCAGGGGAAAAATGTAAAAGGAGAAATGTTTTTTGGTTAATTTAAGCTGCTGGTATTAGTTAGACATTAATAAGAATTAACCGCAAAAAATCGCCCGTTTGGCAAGTGAGTTTTTTGGATGTTTTTCTAAAATTTTACTGTAACTTACTATAGAAGCTTTTAAAAAAAATTTTAAAGTGTGTAAATTTTTTAATATTTTGAAGTATATAGTTTAAAAATTTTGAGAAATTTTTTGAGTTTATTGTAACTAAAGTTTTTAAAAAACTTGTAACTGACAAACTTGGCAAAAACCTCAAGTGCCAAACAGGGTAGCGCTTTCTTGGACAGTAAAGAAAAAGGCCAAAATTGGTTGCCACTAATTAGTTTTTACCAACTAATTGCAAGGGATTGGCAATCAGATGCGATTCGTTGGGAAAAAGAAAGAAGCTCAATTTTTTGTCAATGCTATCCGTTGGGCCAAAAAAAAAAAAAGAAGGCCAAATTTTAGCACAATCCTACGTGCATTTAGACGAGGAATTGTTAGCCAATCAAAAAGTGAAATTATTAATTAACTAATGAAGCATTAATGGCAAAACAGGGCATTCTTTCAATAACATCTGTAAAAAAAATTGATAATTAAATGTGTTTTTTTTTGCAACAAAAAAAAGTCTTTTTTTTTTTGCTAACAATTGCAAGGAATGGCTAATTAAATGCGTTCCGTTGGATAACAAAAAAAAAGGGCATTATGAAGTAGCTATTAACAACTAATTGCGAAGTATT